TACTACTTCTTCCATCCTGAATTATCTTACTTCGTAGACACCGAAAATCAGTGACTCGATCCTGCGCTATCATCTGTTTTATATCTCTACTACTTCTTCCATCCTGAATTATCTTCATAGATACTGAAAATCAGTTACTCAATCCTGCGCTATCATCTGTTTTATACCTGTACTACTTCCTCCATCCTGAATTACCTTACTTCCTAGGTACCGAAAATCAGTGACTCGATCCTGCGCTATTATCTGTTTTATATCTCTACGACTTCTTCCATCCTGAATTATCTTCATAGATACTGAAAATCAATGACTCGATCCTGCGCTATCATCTATTCTATATCTCTACTACTTCTTCCATTCCGAATTATCTTACTTCGTAGATACCAAAAATCAGTGACTATTATAAAATTATTATAAATGCAAAACTATAATGAATCTCGCGGGGCTGCAGAAACGTTCAAGGCAGGCCGCATGCGGCCTACGGATCGCGGGTTGAGCCACCCCTGCCATATACCGTCTTCTCATCATTTAATGCTTTTATTCTCAGGTAAGCCAGGACTGTTTTCGATACGAACAGTAACTGACGTTATTATTATCAAAGTTTCTCATCAAAACATAGTAAAAGCTTTAGGTCCTTACTCAAGTTTGAAGAAATCGATACACGATGCCGTTGCCGAAGTGAAAGACTCATTCGTAAGGATTATAATTTTAAAATAGAAAATTTAATTTTCACCAAAAAAGAAGAGAAAAAAGGAAAAGTTAAAAGTTAAATTGAAATTGTTATATCAATATTTTTCGAATGCGAACTAACTAAAATCACGATATATTACTTAATTTTAAAATAAGCTTTTACTGAACATTGTATTGAATTAAATATATTGACAATTATTGTAGGTTGTTCACAAGCATTTTCACGAAATAAAGGGCGTCGCTACTTATCAGTATTATAATGAAGAAAAGCCAAGATCGTTTTTCCATTTTCCCAAAAATAAGTTGCACCCTCTTAATATCGATTATATTCGCGGGTTCGATGAAAGCGGACCATTCAAAATTTTCAGGTAATAAAGGTATTAAGAATTACGAATGTGATAAAACGAAAACTTTTACAATCTTTACAAAAACTCAAAATTAATTATAGTTTGGTGTATTATAATTAACAGTCCTTTTTAATATTACTAATGGTTTAGTGTTTGATGGTTTTTCGCTCAGAATTTTTCGGATAAAACTGATTGATGAAGTGAATTTTGGGTACCTAATAATTAGCGAATGGCTAAAAGAACAATAGTTATGTTGTTGATGTGCGCCCTTACCTTAGGATAGATATTGTGAACCTTCTCGGTGTTGGGAATTATTACATACTAAATAACCCCTCGAAACGATATAGGAATAAATTTTAAGCAAAAAGTATTGTAGATTTAGAAAAAAAGCTTTTGACAATGTTAAATGGGGCAAGGTGTTAAATATACTTAAAAATGTAGGGATAAGTTACAGAGATAGATGAGTGATACTTAGTTTGTGTAAAGAGCAAGAGGCAGTTATAGAGCTGGGACTGCAACGTAGAGAAGTAAATTTTAGGAAGAGAGTCAGAAAGGGATTTGTCGTATCTTTGTTCAAAGTTTAATCACAAGGGGTGATTGGTAAAGGTTTAAACGTTGAACGCATCATAAATTGTATTCCAGAATATGGAAAGATGTTTATTTTACGTATTTAAACATGATTTTAATATTTATAACGATTAAATATATGATAATTGAATGTTTTATTAGAAAGGGGTAGTTCTCATCCCAAAAAAAAACATCAAAGCACTTTAGGGACATAACTTTTGAAGAGCAGGGTAAGCTTAATTACAAATTTTCATCTAGATCAATATTATCCGAAAGAATTCGGAGGTAATACGCTATTTTTACCTCCAAATACTGCTATTTTTGAGAGAGCTTTCAAAATTTTTAACATGTGTACTGTTACGTCTCGAAATGTAGGATTTAATTTTGTTTCGGACGTACCTCGATTTTTTTGGTTTTTCGTATGAATAGTTCTAACACACGACTTTAAACTAATATTAAATAATGTAAAAACTTGGTGACACTACCCGTTCAGTCTAATTCACTGTTTATACAAATTTAATTATTTAGTAAAGCAATTTATATAGAACGACCAGTAAATAAAAGTATTCACTTTAAATCGTAATAGAATAATCTTTATTAGGCTAATAATAAATCTTACTGACTAAAAGAAGAACCAGGGGATATATATATACGAGGGCGCTATCAATGTTTGCTTGTTCAAACGATAATGATTTCTGGTAGTCTTTACAGTACCCATCATCACTTGCATACTTTCCGTGCATACAGTTATACAGATCGGCAGACAACAATATAGAGCTATCCTCTGACATACATTTATTCCCTTTATTCCTATCCCATATTTCAAAATGTCAATCCAAACGCTTTCTCTATACATTCCAATAGCCACTAAAAGTCCTTCATATATCATTCTGACTTCTACCCTTTAATCTCCAATCTCTTCTGGTCACCCTTCTCAGGCAACCAACCACATTAGTCATCCTTCTCCTTAAGTGTCTCATATGTATTTTATAGTTTAACCTTTCTCCAGTCCATATTCCTAAATATTTAACTTCCTGAGCATATGCTATTGTTCTATTAGCTATCCTCACCAATGGTGGTCTGTTTCCACTTAATCTCCCTTTTAACATCATAATAACTGTTTTTTTTTTATCATTTAACATTACTCCAGCACTCTAACCCCACTCTCCTACCCTTTCTAATCCATTCATCATTTTTCCTTCTATCTCTCTCCTACTATTTCCATCAACCATAAGTAACAGATCATCAGCATAAGCAACAGTCTTACATACTTCTTCCAATTCCTTTAATAGAACCTTCATTGCCAAATTCCACATANTAAATAATATTTTGTACTTAACTAAATGTAGAAAATTAAATAGGTACTACAAAAAAGTATTTATTTGAAAAAAGCATTTTGAAAATACGTATTTTGCATTTAGCATTTAAAATTCAAAAGGGAAATCTATTTTGTATTTTAAGGTCAACGGGAATTAAAAATCAGAAATATAACTTGTGAAATACTTTTATGACTCTGATTCCGAGTTTGACCTTAGAATAGCCATAACATACCTGGATTTTGAAGTATCCTAAGCCTGAAATTTTTTATCCTTTTGCGACAAAATAAACAAGAGAGTGGTTATCTTTGACCTACTTTTTGTTGCTGTATAAATATCTCACCTTAGATTGACCTGACACCTCGATATTAATTTGGGTTGTTTGGTTTTAAGGGTGGAATATCACAATAATTTCAACCTGGTAATGCTTTTTTGAGGTTTTGGGCGCGTCAACAAAATATACATCTAAATCCATAAAATATTGAAATTTCAAGATATATTGTTCTCAAATCAAGTCAACGTTTAGAGTTTTGGAGTCAAAATATTTCAAAATCTTGAGTTGTTTTGTCTTTTGACTTCATTAAGTAATCAAGGTCAAAAATTACAATATTTTGAATTCTGAGATTGGAATATCTACAAATCTTGGTGTACTGAGGCAAATTTGGGCTTCGCGAATAACGTAGTAAAAAACCTGCGTGTCACTTTTTTTCTTTCCAATACATAATTGGCCTGTGTTTAGTACTCATGGTTGCGAAAGTTTCTCTAACAGTGTTTCGTATAGATTTATCTAATTAATAATCCATAATATATCAGAAAATATTTCGTAAATAATCAGACAAGTCCAATTTTTACCCCAAAATATAGAATTAAACTGAAAAACTATCGATTATTTTATACATTTTCTATAAGTAGACGAGCTGCTTGATAATAAAATTTTTATTTATAAAAGAAAATATAATTGTCTAATATAGAGCCCGAGGCAGAAGAACTTAATTTTTATTGATTGAAGGATCTGAGTTAATGAGGATGAAAATGTTTGTTAATAATACTCCAAAACCAAACCGACGTTTCGCTCTAAATTATGCGGTTTTCCTTTAAAAGTTTTCACCTTGATTACTGAGATTCTTCGTTCACTGTTGAACAAGGAGAAGATGTAGATACTGCCCTTAATACAGGGACAGATTTGCATAAGAGCATTTGGGGTCACTGTCCAGGACCCCCAAAAATTAAGGGATTCCACAAAATTATGTTTAAAAATAGAATCGCTTGAGTATTAAAGCGAATTTATTACCACCACAGATTTTAACTGTCTTATTCAGTATTTTATCATGGAAAATAGTAAAAAAAGCGGTTAAGGTAGCATCATAAGGTTTAGATAGGAAAAGACAACACGAAAGGAGTACTTATGTTGTCTGATTGTAAAGGTTGTTAATGGTGGACTTAACAACAGTAGTATTGATAGAAACGATACCTTCGAAACAACTCAAATTTTTCTTTGACTTAAACTTTAGAAGGTTCAGGTTAGGGAAGTTTGATTGTTCATTTTTCTTTATTTTGGGGTAGAGATTGCGCCATATTGAATGTTGTCTTTTAAAAGAGTTTCTTTCTAGATATTTGAGATTTTCTATGTGTTATTACGACTCAAGAGGTATATTAATATCGCATCCTTTAAAAACAGCTAAACATTATCTGTCGGGAACTTTTGCTGTGGACTTTATTGCTGCTTTTCCATTTTCGTTTTTTTTACGTCATTTGTTGAAGTATGATGAAAACAATCCGGCTTCGTATACACGATATTTGAGGCAACTGAACCTAGCATCTTTTACGGAAGTGCTGCAAATTCATAGAATCCCGGATGCACTTAAATATTTTGAAAAAGATGAATTTTCGGAAGAAAAAACCATTATGTAATTATGTTTTTTACTAAGCGTATCTGTGTTAATTAGCTTTACTGTATTGTATTTAAAATAGTTATTAATTTAAAGCTAGTACACTTTTCGTAGAGTGATCGTATGAAACTGCTTGAAGGTAGTGTAGATTCTTCATTTATGAGACAATATTAGAGAGACAAGATTTGTTATAACAAAACCAGTACCGACGTTTTGTCTCTGATTTGAGTCTTTTTCAATACAGTAAAAAAAAGCTATGAATTAAAATAATTCGAAGTGGTCTGTATTCTAAAATGTAGCATCGTGCTACAGATGGCGTTTATTGCGCCATTTGTGGTATTTTCTAAAGCTATGAATTATTGATCGGATTTATAAAACTACTTTGTAATTAATAATTATTTCGACAATAAATTCAAAAATAATGAAAACATCACCGAGAGAACTAAATTTTTATGGTCAAGCAAAAAGTACAAGTTCGATTGTAAATGACTGAATTTGCTGCAGAAATTGTAGAATTTTTTAGGTAACTTGTAATAAGTAAAAGTTTCTTAATTACTACAATTTAATTTGTAACATCAACTAAAATTCCTAGTAAATTTATTTCTGCTGGGATTTTATTTTTACAAATTCGGGTCCAAATTGTAATTTTTATTATTTCCGCTTACGAAGCAATGGGGCTAGTGGGATTAAATTGTAAATATCGCTTTAATATTTAGGTAAATTTTCCTTTTTCATTTTCTCCA